CCAAGAAGCCACTGTATGTGAAAGTGAAATATTAGTACAAATGCTGTTGAAAGGGCATGATGATCAGCAAGAGTTGAATCTCTGACTTGTTGGCAATTATGAGAATTTGGTATTTGCAGGTAAGAGAGCTACACCGGGTATACAGTGTGCAAAAGATGTTGATGGATGAGCTCAAAATCGAAACTAGACAGCAGAAATTATGGAAGCAAAGGAATGAGATAGATGTAAGCCATCCACATCTCATTAAACCGCAACATCAAACGACACAGATTTCACAGAAGCCTGATTTCCGTGTTGGAAATTTGAGAGAGGATGTTTGGTCAAGAGAAAATATTAGAAGCTGGTCAGACACCATACAGATGCAAAAGAGTTTTGACCTTGAAAGGCCTGCAGAGGAGGACATTTTTTCTCAAGGGCATGGCTTTGATGAAGGTGAGGCAGGGCCTAGCTCCTACGCAACAGCATTTCAGAGTTGTAAAATAAGTACTAGCGGCTATGATGAAGACATGGAAGTGGATTTGACACTAAGCATAGGAGGTAGTCAAGTTAACAAGAGTTCTCAATTACCTCAATTAGCATGCTCAAACTCAACCAGTGGGAAAACTAGGAAGCTGAATTCATATGCCTCTTTCAAATCAGATAGAACAGGAGAATACAGTGACCCCACCACCCCAATCAGTAGCACCACTGTGACATTTACTCGGGAAGGGAAGGGGCCACATTGGCTTTCTCAAGGTCTAAAGCTTAAATAGCACTATAACTTGTTTGGATCCTTTCAACCATACATGGACCACCGAATTTATGTGGTTCATGCATTCAGATTCCTAGATTACTTTCTACTTTATTCCAATGCTTCTAAAACTATTTTCGTTCTCAACATTCTAACCCAATTATGCTATTGTAAATGCTGAAGTTCATACCACTGGATGCACTGAGTATTTAAGTATAGCATAATATGCATTCTCAATCAATAGACTGATAAACTCAGAAAAGGATACAATAATTATGAGCATCACATGGCAGTCACATAATTAATGGCCATGATTCTGTCTCTTTCAAACAGAGCAGTCTCCATATGCAGTTGGATTCATGATTTTGTGTGCTCAGAAGTTGTATCTTACGAAAGATAGTGTGATTCTAATGTCAGTATCAGTTAGAAACTGTCTTAGTAGTGGTTTGATCTAGGTATCAGAGTCCTTATGGAATTACAACAGTATACTTTTTTAGAGAAGAAATTAAAAGTGCACACCCTTTTTCTTTGTAAACATGCAACCTTTTTTGTTTGTATATGTAATGCCCAAAAATTCGCAGAAATTATTGTCATAAATAAAAAAGCAACACAGCTAGGTGGTGAAAGTTTTTGGTTGAAATACTAGCTAGAGCAAGTTCGCATGATGATAATAAGTTTCGCATTAGAAGAGAATAGACAAAGTTGGGAAATCATGAGGGAAAAGAACCACAGATTTTCAGTTTTGAAAATTCAAGCGTGAATTCCAGTTAAATATGTGAGCAAATAAGCGTAATTTATTCGAGGACTGGAGTAATTTGTGCAGTGGCTGTGTTCTTGATGATACTTTTGATATTTCAATTCATTCATTAAAATTAAAAAGATTTTTTGAAGTTCAGTCTGATGCTCAAAAACTAAGTTATGTGGGGTGAAAATATTGTGATGTGTAGTGGGTAGGTTGTGTTGTAGTCTTCAACGTCTATGGGCCCTTCACACAACATGCTCCATATAATGAATTGAAAATGTTTTCCGTACCGATATGGGGCTCAGACTGAGGGGTGACACTTTAAGCGTCCACTATAATTTTGTGCACTTTGGTATTTAAAAAAAACAAATTATATACTTTTATTTTATCTTTCTAACTCAAATTACTATTTTTGTTTATCTATTTATTATATGGGAAGTAAAGAAGATTGATTTTGGGAAGAGTAAGTGGATAAATTTAAGAGAATTTGAAATGAATTGAATGTTGTTTTTTCAGGAGATTTGAAAGTAATTAGAATATATTTTGAAATAAAATTTATAAAAATTAATGTAAAATTTGATCGATGTAAAAAATAAAAAAATTAATTAGTTAGTAAAAATTAAATATTAACAAAATATCTTTAATAGTAAAAATAATATAAAATTGTAATTATGAATATTATATATAATTGTAAAAATTATTATAAACAAATTAATTTTTAATCTGAAAAAGATTATATTATTATTATTATTATTAAGGTTATTTTGTAATTTTATTTCTTATCCTTCAAAGATTGTTTTTAACCTTTATTTTTCAAATTCTCACACACAAATCCACACAAATTAAATGAAGTAAATATCTTGAATTTTTCATTTTCCTTCCTCACAAACGGATCACTCAAAATAAACACAGTATAAGTCTTAATAAGATGAGGTTGATAAACTTTTAACTCATTCAAAATATATTGAAAGTAAATAAAAATACAATAAAAAAATCTCACTTAAATATAGCAGTTAATATAGTGTTATAAATATTAGAAATTTATATCGGAATTACATTTTTATGTAAATACTTACAAAAAATAATGAAAAATGTACGAAATAAGGATTGCGTTTCCACCACTTATTAGATCGTTTTAGTCATTAGAATGAATTTGTTTTATGAAGAAAAAAAATACTTCTTTAAATCAATAGTTGATCTTAAGGATTACAGCTGAGATTATACATTGAGTTAGAACTTTCTCATACTTTAATTTTTTTTTTTAATTTTAGGAATATTTTCATTTTAAAAAGTTTTTGTATAACTGTTTAAAAATATTGATCTTAACTAATTTTTGTGGATAAGATCATATTCCTTGTTTTACTTAAAAAATATCGTTGAAACCAATTTGATTATAAGGGAAAGCCAATTTTAAAACCAATGATAGGTCTTAAGAATTAAGTCTAAATTAAAAAAAATGAATTTAATCATTTCATTGTTCTGATCATTTTTCAACTATAAAATGAATTTATTTTCTAAATTATTTTTATTAACAGTGTAATCTAATCTTATTTTCCAACTAAAACATCTAATTTTTATTATATTATTTTACAATAAATGAATTTTATCACTAATCTCTCCTTAATTTTTTTATAATGGTCAATTTATTTATTTCATTATATCTACATAAAAGAAATTCACCATATTTTATTATTAAATATATACTTATTTATTTTAAAACTAAAATAACTACTTAACCATCAATTTAGTAGGATGAGATAACATAATTAATTAATATTTTACAATATATCCGTCTATGTTAAATATGACGGATTAATTGAACATATTTTTTATGAGTTAAAGTCTAAACTGAATTTAAACTAGTCGAACTAACCCATTTTGTTATTTTTAGTTTTTATTGAATATGATGAATTGTCCAAATATATTGGTTCATTTATGAACCCACATTAGGACAAAATTTGTAAAGGCAACAAACTTAAGACTTATTTTTATAATCAAATTTAATGATATGGGTATTATTCTAATATTGTTTTAATAAATTATATGCTCATAATATACAAAATATTTCTTAAAGAACGTAAAAGGCATACATAGAAACATGATAATATATAAATATTTTTTTTTCTATTCCTAATTATTAATAGTAGAATAATTATCATGTTAAATTTTATTTTATTTACTTTATGTATGGTATATGGGATAGACCCAATGGTCAACATTCGTAACCGTTTGGTCTGTTACTTTTGTCAACAGTCAAAACAGATCAAATATTGGACCGACGCTTAAAGGTAAGTTCGTTGGATTTATGTTAGTTTATGATCCATGAAATAACTTATAAATAGAAGACTAAGCTGCAAAGGTAAGAAGGTTGAACTAATTCTGAGTACTTATTCTCTATTGAATATTATTACTATTATCACGTAAAATCACTGAGCGTCAGGGTGTCTTTTATAGGTATCCTCCCACACATATTAGAGAAGGAGGAGAGAGAGAGCAAATAACACAACTTGAATAACAAAAGACCATTAAGAAACTCATCTAGTCTTCAGATCAATTTTAAATCATTTGAATAAGGAATCTCAACCCTAACCCGAAACACTTTATGATTTTTAATTCAAATAATGTCAAAACATGTGTACAAGACAAAATTATTTTAAAAGTCTACTTATTTTGAACGAATTTATCTTCGAACTTCCATGATTTTGACTTTATGTTTCCTGATCACTGCTCTAATATATGTGTCTCTTAATTGATAATCTCATTAAATAATATACTATCAATATTCTTTTTGACTATATCATTAAAAAAAATTAAAACATTATCTTACTCCACCACCATCATCCCAGTTTAATAATTCATTTGACTTTACTAACCCGTTAAACAATAATTCCTTCAAAAAATAAAAAACTCTTAAAAAATAATAATTTAAATAACAGAATACCCGTTTGACATAATTTGGATAAAGTTTATTTTTTAGAAGTGTAAACTCTTAAAAATTGTCCTGGAGAAATGAACAATATAAAACTAACCTATTTAACCCAAAACACTATTATCCGAAGGGTTATAATTGGATGAAAGAAAAAAAAACAAAGAAGTCGATTCGTTTAAGTTTTTTTTCCTATATCTAATGAATCACTTTGTTTCGAATAATAATTATTTTGTGTTACAACGAAACATCAGGAATGTTAACAAGATGTTATTTATACCTTTTTTTTTTTCATAAAAACAATTATTTTCTTATAAAATGATTTTTCTGATCGTAAATAAACATAAATGAAACTTTTTTTAAATCTATAATATAATCACTAAAATATTTCATTCTAGAATAACATTTTTTCTATCTTCAACAAATCAATCAAACCTAAAGGGGTGCTTCTATTTTATTGAAAAGAAAAAGAAAATAAAAAAAAATTTACTCAATATTTTTATTCTCTAAAAACATTATGCATTAATTATACAATGATCATGTAACTCGAAGCAATTAATGGGGCTTTGAGAACTCCATTAATTATTACCACAATAATGAATTATGAAATATACATAATTGAAGAAACTCAAACTCAAGCCGTTGTAGACTAAAGATACTCATGCAAACTCTAAAATGGAACAATGCTGCTGCAGCTGCTGCTGATGATAATAGCATAGTTGTACTTTTTCTAGTTTGGCCTGGTGCAATCAAACCTAATTTCACCTTGCTTTCCCGTTTTAACACCAACCCTTCCCAACTTGGTAATTGCATCAATAAAAGCTTTCTGAAAAGTTCTTTCATCTGATGCAAACGAGTTGACTGTGGCCTTTGACCTTTCATCTGTAAACAGCACCTGATCAGAGGTGAAGAGACCCTGTCCATTCTGCAGATTCTTGAAGTATTGGTTGTCAAACTTCTGAGGCGTCACAGGGTCCATGTTTATGGCAATTCTAGGATCAACCTTTAAAGGGCACATCTGTCTAAGCTGAAAAGCATATTGTAAATCCAGCGTTGGATCGATTCTGTTTTTGGGGCTGAATTTGTAGATTCGTTTCGAGAAGCGGTTGCAGTGAGAGAACCCAATTGTGTGTGCACCTAACATATATAAGATTCTTTAGTCTCTTACTTCAAAAAGTATGACTGCATAAAAAAAAGCACCTTTTTTTGTCAGTGAAGAAAATACCTGATAATGCAATCATATCTGTCTGAGATAGGCCATTGAAGTTGAACATGGAATTGAGCTGATCCAAATTGAAATCAGGGTGAGGAAGATGGCGTTGAACACTTGCAATAGTAGATATTCTACCATCACGCCTTCCCAATTCAACATCGTAAAATGGTCCCCCAGCCTACAATATTATGCACTTGTTACTGTTTGAAAATGCAATGTCACACAGTGTAAAACTCTTAATCTGCATGCATGGCCGGTATTGAATCAAACGGTTTAGAGATAAAGTGATAGAATTGTTTGCCAATAATGCAACTATAAAGAAATTGCAATCATACCAAATTTACAACATCCCTAGTAGCCAGAGCGAGTATATCAGCACAAGAGACTTTGTTCCGGCACTTGGGGTCACTATCAACAGCTTCCTTGGCTTTAATCACTGTGTCAAAGCCATCCCCAGCAAGAGATATGTCATCAGGATGATCCTTTTCTGAGTTACTATTTGCGAGCAGAATTGAAGCATCACAACCCTGTGTGCACAACGACAAATTTGTTTATATGTAGTTTGATTTCACTAGAAAAATGTTCTTAAACTGATGGCATAGACTAATTGTATAGAGCATATATATAGTTTTTTGCAGGTTCCCGAATGCAAAACTATGCACACATAATTTTCGCTTTAGTGAACTGATATGGTTAGTAATTAGAGGTATATGCGAAATCAAAGCAAGCTGAGTAAAGAAAACGATGAAGTGATGAAGAAGGTGCACACACCCTCACAAAGCAATCATGGAAGTAGAGTCGAAGAGTGGCAGGAGCAGTGACAAAAGTCTGCTGGAACTTGAGTGCAACAGCAGAGCGTACCAACTGCTCCACATTGGGGCATACATTGTTGTAGAAGCCACGAGTGAGTTCAGCTGAGCTTATAGTTGTACTAGTCAAGAGAAGCAGCAAGGAGAAGAAGAAAAAGTTAGGAGTTTCCATGTTACTGACTCTTGTATTTTGCTTCTTCGATTTGGTTCCAACATCTATGTTGTGTATCCACTTATATATACTCAACATGGCCCCCACTTGAGCATGAGCAACAAAAAAATATGTAGTTCATAAATAAATAGTTAAACAAGAAGATAAAATATATAATTGGGGAATGATTGATGAGAGAAACAACAGACATCTGTTTCACAACAGTCTGGCAATTTGATATGAGAAACTGTGATATTGACTCTGAGAATGCTTTAAAAATGGAGGCTAATTATAAGTTGCGTGAAGCATCTTGTGTTTAGTAAACTGCGGATGAATGAGGCTGTTATATATTATTATATTAGCATCAATTTTATAATCACAATAAGAATAGTAGGTGTGCACGACCATGGATAAGCATGTTACTATGGAAGAAAGAGTTTTAGTTTATGAACTGATATGGAAAAAACTTTTGTTTTCTATAGTTTTATGTCAAAGAGACATTCATCTTGATACTATTTATTCCTCAAACAATTTTTGAAGTTTTATTACACAAACTACTGAAATGAAAATCTAATTTTAATGGAAAAATGATGGTAAAAATACTTAAAGTAATGCAGCACTTTTTTGTTATCTTATCTCTTGTCTCTGAAATGAATCAGATTTAGATGGTAAATGTTCGTTTACTTTAAGAGAATGTCTAGCTTGTTGTTTGGCATTACGACATAGCCAACTCAATTGCATGTGACCATATGCGTATAGACTCATCTTGCCTAACAACTCTTCTTAGTTGTTAAATATTTTTTCCTTAGGAAAAGATCCCTTCTTTCAAAGTTCAAACCAAACAACTTTTTATTTATTGTTTCTTTTAAAACAGCCAATCCCTACAGTTACATCTGTCAATTCCCGCAAAACCAATCACATTTACTAAAAGCTAAATAATTCTACTTACATTAATTTCTGCAAAAAAAAGTGAACTTGTTTGCCAGTATATATGATATTTTTGTATAATTTTGTTCTTTTTACAACATTATAGTGGTCAAAATATCATTTTTTTTCTGTCTTTCTATTAATGTATTATTGGCAGCATCACCAGAAAAGAACAGTAAAATACAGTGACATCACTCGCTGCACACCATCCAAAGAGACAGAAATACATACGAAAATCAAATTGTATTTAACATGCTTTCCATGTCTAAAAATTGCAAGATGCTAATAATTATAGCTTCAATTTGCTATATTATTTTTGTAGTTTTGCTGTTACTTTTCATTTTTCAACGTTATGGGGCTTATTCAATATTCAGCACGTACTTTTTTCTCATATTTCTTTCTTCCACGCTAGTATCACATACATGTTTCTTGAGAATAGTTTCCTATATCAACGCCTGAATCTCTCTTTTAAAAACACCAACAAGTAAAAAAATAGCAAATAAAACCATTTTTGTTTTCTAAGTCAAAGTTTTCCAAGGTCCAAAATGCAGCTCGACTTAAGAGACGACTTTAAGAGATTTGATTTGTTTCGTCAAGTAGAATTTAATTTATCGTTTTTATAATATGGCATCTTGAACATTAATTTACTTGGTATTAGTAAGTACTGGTACCAGCTAGATTATTATTATTATTATTACTATTATTATTATGTGTCGAAGAAAGTAAGCGTGTTATTAAATCAATATTGAGTTTCATCTGTTATTGTAAGAGAGAGTAGCAAAGAGAATTATTTTTAAGAAAAATTTATGTGAAAAGGGTAATTTTTTTTCTATGATTTTTAAGCAGTAAAGTTATAGATTACTTTTTCTGATTGATTACATTTTTATTGGAAATAATTTCATCACAGGTTAACGTTCAAAACAAAATTACAGCATAATTCTCATTGTCAAAAGTTACACTTATTTTAATTAATTTTTTCTTATATAAAGTTTTTCATGATTCATTTTTGCAACTTATAATTGATAAAATAAAATAAAACAAAATATATTATCCTAAAATATATATAGAAAAACTAAGAATAACTTGAAGTTTTTGAAAACTCTCATATAAAATAACTTAGACATTAAAAAATATTATTCCATGACACAATATATGTATTAATATCTACCTCTCATCTACTCACATTAATAATCTACTCACATTAATAATGCGACTACATAAAATAAACAAAAAAAAAATTACAAAAAACAATAAAATAAGCTAGTGTGCAAACAAATTATTCTGAAAAAAATTAAATCATATCAAATATAAATTAAGTTTGGATTAAATACAATAAATTATATGTATTTCCCCTCAACATATTTCGGTTCCTTATTCTTTTCGAACTTTCCCAAAAGCTACATCAAATCCCATTTTGAAGACTCAAACTCAAATAACCACGACCCTAAACGCACATCCTCAACATCATAGAGAAAATAAAACCAGTTTAGAAACTAACTTCACCTTCAAAATGCACTCTTCATTTTCGTTGATTGATAGAAGAATCTCACAACTCAGCTGGTCTCAATTTCGATTTCAACAAAAAACCCTAATTCACCCTAATTTCAAGTCCAAAAATTAAAGCTTTTCTTTTTCGTTAATTTTCGAATACTAGATCACGATTTCGTTAAAACAGCAATCACACTCTTTGTTTTCGTTGATTATAAAAGAGAAATCCCACGAGTAGGGTGATCTTAATTTCAATTTCAACACTTCATTTTTTTACATTTATTAGTTACTCGACACATGTATTAACGATATGTTATACGGTTGGTTACGTAAAAGGTGTTAAAAATCAAAAACATATATAATTCTATTTTTTTATTAAATAACAGTTATACAAATATAATTTAAAAAGTTGTTAAAAAATAATTTTAAACTAAGAAAAATAGAAGTGAAAGATAAAATTAAAAAAAAAGCAAAAAAATAGAGGTGAGAAAAAAATTAAAATTAATACTTTTTAAATATCAATTACTCCTTAAAAAATTAGCATTAATAATGGTTAGAAGGTGACTAAGGATATATATATATATATATATATATATATCCCATCCTTTTATCGTATTAACACGCTAGTATCTAATTCTTTATCTTCCTGTTGCTCCGCCTAATTCTGCTGCACTGTCTTGATGCAAATCTTCACAGCCAAATTTGACTTGTCCTGCAAAGTTCTCTCCCATCATAATCATTGTATTTCAATCAACATGGAAACATACAATGATCTATCTATCTCAAACTAACATAAACTCATGTTTAAGTGATTTTCTGCCCCCACACCGTTCCTCCTACCTTACCACCTTCACTTCTTAATTGGTGGAATTTGTTATCACTTTTGGTTGGTTTAATCAGTACTGCCATCTACCTCAAAAATTAGCTTTAAAACAATTTGATGCCCAAAAAGCAGAATTCGTGCTTTGATCGTTTGACAGCAATCAAGTATATTTTACCAGATACATCAACTCATCTCTCCAACAAAAATGAATGGTCAGAGGTCGAAAAATACATCTATAACATAAATAAGAAAAAAATAAAAACAAGCACCAAAAATTAACGTTTGACGAAATAAGCTATATATATTTCACATAACTAACGGAAACCACATTTCTCAAACCTATATAATATACATGATAGGATATGTTTACATTGCTACAAGTTGCACGACCACAAAAACAAGTTGATATGATATATTACATAATTAAAATAACAATTCTATATTTAATGAACATCTTACTTTATTAGTTGAATATGTAGATTGCGGCAACGTATGACATACAGTTCAACTTGTAGCGTTGTAAACTGACCCTGTTAAAAGTAATTTCACTGGTCTAGGCCATTCAACCCAACATGAAAATCTATTAAAATTGGGGTTGTAATTTTGATTTTGGATAAACTATGGACTCTTCCACTTGCACGTCAATTATGACAGAACTAGTCTTCCGTTAAACATATTATTTAGCAAAACTCCATACATGAGTTCATTCTTCCAACAAGAAGGGGGAAAATTGCTCGGAGAAACTTTCCTTTCGTCGTTCATCGCTATGGCAACAAGTCACCTGCAGATGTGTTTTCTAAATAGTCAGTGAAACCTTGTACTGGATCAAAAATGTTATATGTATGAAACCTAAGCACACTGACAAAAACAATTGTGGAATGACGGGGGCATGCATGTTGGTATGAACTTTCTTGCTGATGAAATTCTCTCTGTTCTTCTGATCTTCTCTAGAATTTCCTTCTTATTCATATTCAGGTGTGACTGTTGCACTTCTCAGCTGGAATTATATTGTCATTCCTTTTAATTGCATTTCTCATTGTTGTTTAGATATGGGGTGAATGAGTGATTGTTCTTCATCCTGGATAAAATAATTACATATACAGAGGATATTCTGTCTTTTTTTGGAGATTGTGGTTAGACGTATATTTTCAAATTCTGCACTGTTTCACTATATCTGATCAATCAGGTCAATTATCAACCATAGGAAACAAATTTGGTATATATGAAAGCCAAATTTGATTCATTAAGGTGAAAAATTAGGACACCATCATGTACAAATAACTAATAAATTCCAAACATAAATAAGAAAACATGAGCTATAAAAATTCTATTTCTTAAACCTCCGTAGTTTCATGATACAAAAAAAAAACGGGATAGAAAGAATCATTTCACATGAAAAAAATGTAGAATTGTTTCTCCTCAAACCCTGGTAGAAGCAATGTACACAGCACAGTGCTGTGCCGCCCTTTCTATTTTCTAATATATTCAGAATTCCAAGGTAGAAGAGAACAATGTAACAGGTGAATATGAGATTCATTTTGTAGGATAATATAGACGATGGAAAGTAAAAACTGTCAACGTGCAATTTATTACCTGTCAGGACATAAAACGCAATAATGACCTTTCAGCTTCCATGAATAACTTTTCGGGGATCAAGCTGTCCACTACGATAACTAGAAGGAACAGTTGAAAGTTCGAGTCTTCCCTTCCATTCCTCGCCAGGTTTCAAAGTAATAGGCTTTTCAATAGCAGCAGCCTCTACACAAAGCATATGCTTATACTCATCATCACCGAAATCAGGCATAGACTTTGCTTTCTTATCCCAAGGATTCCACA